AGTGGCACGCTCCTGGCCACCGCAGCCTCCACCTGCTGGGCTCCGATGATCCTTCCACCTCAGCCTTCCAAGTAGCTGGAACTACAGGTGTATGCTACCACATCTGGCTAATTTTTGATTTATTATAGAGACAAGGTCTTGCCAAGTTTCCCAGAATGGTCTCGAACTCAGGCAATTCACTCGCCTCGGCCTCCCAAGTGCTGAGATTATAGGCTGAGCCACCGAGCCCAGCCGAGTATAATCTCTTTTAAATAAATAAAACTGTATGTATAAAAAATTTCTAGAAGACTAAAAACTGTTAATACTGGTGATTATTTTTGGTTATCATTTATTATTATTACTTGGTTATTATTTATATTATTATAGATCTTTGGAGAGAAGATCTGTGAGGTAAGAGTAAATAATATGAAAACTACTTTTAATTTTCATCATTTCTGTAAAGTTTTAATTTACTACCATGAGTAACCTTTCATTTTAAAATAGCTTACAGGCATGCATGGTGGCTCAAGCCTGTAATGCCAGCACTCTGGGATGCCAAGGTGAGAAAACTGCTTGAGCCCAGTAGTTTGAGACCAGCCTGGGCAATATAGCAAGATCTGGTCTCTACAAAAAATTTTTTTAAATAAATAAATTAGCCAGGTATGGTTGCATGTGCCTGTAGTCCCAGGTAGTTGGGATGCTGAGGTGAAAGGTTTGCCTGAGCCCAGAAGGCTGAAGCTGCAGTGAGCCAGGATTGAGCCACTGCACTACAGCCTGGGTGACAGAGTAAGACCCCAACAAAAAAATAAATAAATAAATAAATGATTCATGGCATTTTAAAATAATATTTGTTCAATTTGAGGAAACCCTTAATTGGAATTTGGAAAGAAAGAAAAGAAAGTTTCAAGTAAGAAAAGAAAAAGATGTTTATTAAGATTAACATATACCAAGTGTTATCAAATAATGATTTCATTTACCCTCACAAAAATCCTGAGGGGACTTTCAGTTTTTAAATGAGGTTTAGTAATTGGCTCCGAATCACTTAGCTTAAAAAATGTAAGCTAAATGTTAAGATACTTTACCCTAACATTTATTTTTATCCTCATTTTGGAACTTAGCAGTATTATTTCATACATGATTATGTGTCTTACCTACAAAGGTATACAATAAATACCTTCTAAATCTAAAAGAAAAGAAAAGAACAATTTATGTAATGTATTTTAACATTTTTGTAAGCAAAGTTAAGGTAAAGGAACAGCTGGGTGGTGCCTGCAGGCTGGCAGTACGGTAAGTAACCACATGGTTTCATGCTCCTGGCTTAAGGACATTCTCTAACAGCCTCCAATTTAAAATGTGTTTCTCTTCCCCATGTCATTCTTTACTTACTCGTGACAAGCGTGAAGTGGGTAAGAGCTACAATGGCATAAAACCTCTAAATGACATTTCCTGAAATAACACAAACACTATTTAAAGCTAGTATTTTATAGCCAGGCACAGCGGTTCATGCCTGTAATCCCAGCACTTTGAGAGGTGGAGGTTAGAAGGCTGCCTGAGCCCAGGGGTTCGAGACCAGCCTAGGCAACTTGGTGAGACCTCGTCTTTACAATTAATCAAAAAATTAGCCAGGTGTGGTGACACCTGCCTGTTGTTTCAGCTACTTGGAAGGCTGAGGCAGAAGGATCACCTGAGCCCAGCAGGTCGAGACTGCAGTGGTCGTGAATGTGCCACTATACTCCAGCCTGGGCAACAAAGTGAGACTCTGACTCAAAAATTTAAAAAGCTGTATTCCGTAAAGTAAGGATCAGAGTTACAAAAGGAAGAATGAGAACTTGAGAACTGATTTGAGCATGCCGCCCGCACTCAGTCTGGTCTCAAAGGGCTCACTGGTGGAAAAACAATGGGTTTTGGATCAAACCCAGGTTCAAATTTTGCTCTCTACTTACACCTGCCTATATGATATAGTATAATTATAATATGTGCATTGAAAAAATACTATATTATTATAATTATAATAGTAAAAATAATATGTGCATTGAAAAAATACTAAAGAAGTCTACCCCAAATGATTGATTATCTCTGGGTGGTATTAAAGTGACTGTGTTTTTCTTTATACGTTCCTATATTGTCTAGACTTTGCTATGCAACATTAATTTTGATTTTGTGGAATCCATGATTCTTGAGGAGAAGGGAATAAGCTTTTGTCCACATGATAGTATCATATTGTGTTAATTTACCTCCCTCCATATGCATGAAAGACAACAGATTCCTTTCCTGTACTAATACAGCCAGTGATTGTCTCCAACATCCCAGAGTTGACCATTTTATACATAAGTAAACGTGTCTTAGGATCAACTGCTTTTTCCTGCAAAAGATAAATCACTGTAAGTAAAAATAACTGTTAATTATATATTTCCTGAGGTATTTCTAGTATCTAAATTTCAAAATATTTCCTTTTCCTAACCATTATTTAATTTACTTAGATATATATCTAAAAGGCTCTTCAAATATCTAAAAGGCTCTTCAAAGAGTGCTGTCAAGACATAATTCATACCTATAAATATAACTCTAATGTCTTTGAAAGTGACTACCAAGAAGAAATTAGGCTAGATACAGTGGCGCACACCTGCAATCCCAGCACTTTGAGCAGCTGAGGCAGCAGGACCATTTGAGGCCAGGAGTTTAAGATCAGCCTGGGCAACATAGCAAGACCCTGTGTTTACAAAAAATAATTTTTAAAAATTCGCGAAGCATGGTGGCACGAGCCTGTAGTCCTCAATACTCAGGAGGCTGAGGTGAAAGGATAGCTTAAGCTCAGGAATTTCTGGTTGCAGTGAACTATGATCAAGCCACTTCATTCCAGCCTGGGCAACACAGCAAGATCCTGACTCTAAAAAAAAAAATTAATTAATTAAAAATTAAACATTTTTGGCCGGGCTCGGTGGCTCAGCCTGTAATCCCGTGCTTTGGGAGGCCGAGGTGAGTGGATTGCCTGAGCCCGTGGGTTCGAGACCCGCCCGGGCAACTTGGCAAGACCTCATCTCTACAATAAATCAAAAATTAGCCGGGCATGGTAGCACACGCCTGTAGTTCCAGCTACTTGGAAAGCTGAGGCGGAAGGATCGCTGGAGCCCAGCAGGTCGAGGCTGCAGTGGCCGGGAGCGACAACTGCACTCCAGTCTGGGCGACAGAGTGAGACTCCAATTCAAAAAAAAAAAAAAAATTTAAACATTTTTAAAAAGACAGTTACCCCTTAAATATGTACAATTATTATGTGTTAATTTTTCTAAAAAGTCACTAGCTTAGTCAAATTGTATTCTATCCCCAAAGTTTGATTAGCTTCCCTAGCATTCTTATCATCAGTTTTTGTAAAGGTTTAAATAAATTAGTTTATTAGACAAAATGTTCATGAAGGTAAAACACTAGAGACATTAAATTATAAAGATGCCAATACTGTAATAGGCATTTTAAATTTTTAAATAAAATCTGGAAACATGTAGCTGCAACATAAACTATATAGTCTAAATTAATCATGACTACTAAAATATTACTTTTGAACAAGTGATTATAACTATAACATTAAATCTGAAAGTCAAATAGCAAAGTCACTTTGGTTTTATTTATATCTTTGATTTGAAAAGCCAATCTTATGAGAAAATATCAAACATGAAGTATTGTTTTCTTCCCCCAAACAAAGTTTTCTAATATAAATCCAGTAAAGAAGAAAAATCGACAAATCCTTACTGCAGTAGAATGCTCCTTTTTCTCATGGAGGCGGGCACTTCGACGTTCTTCTGAGTAGGCGTGTTGTTTTAAAGCGTTGAAAACATGGTTTGATAGTTTTAAATCCATTCCAATTCCATCTCCTACCTGAAACCCAGGTGCAAACTGCCAAAAAGAAGAATTAGTGTCTAAATACTTTAAAACGGGGACAGTAAATTAAAAAAGGAGAGAGAGAAGTTTTTCTTTGAACAGGTTTCTTACTCAAAGATGATCACACTACAAAATCAGAACCCATAGGTGCTAACTACAGAGAAAAGACACAATAACTCACTAACAGAAAGAGGAACAATACTCCTTAAGAAACTGCAACCCAAAGGAAGACATTTATTCTATGCATAGAATACACCTCATTACATCTAAAGCTGTCTTTCAGCATATGCTTTGTACCTCACTTTTACATCCACCAAAGAACACAATATTATATTGTGAAGGCTATCCCAAACCTTACCAAAGAAATACAATTTCACAATTAATTATTTTTGAGGAGCAGGTTAGTACAGCAAGCTATGCCCACGCCACAACAAATATGTTCTAGAGCTATACAATCCAATTAGGTAACCACCAGCAATATGAGGATATTTAAGTTAAAGTTAAATCAAAAATTCAGTTTTTCGGTTGTACCACTTAAACGTCAAGTGCTCACTAGCAAATGTAGCTACCACACTGGACAGCACAGATACAGAACATTCCCATTATCACAGGAAGTTGTATTATTGGCAGTGGAGCCTGTGGGAGGCGGAAGTGAGAGGATTGCCTGTGTCCAGGGGATCGAGACCAGCCTAGACAACTTGATGAGACTTTGTTTCTACAATAAATAAAAAAAGTAGCCGGAAATGGTGGTGTATGCCTGTGGTTCCAGTTTCTTGGAAGGCTGAGGCAGAAGGAGCACCTGAGCCCAGCAGGCTGAGGCTGCGGTGGACGACAGGGGGAAAAACAACAACAACAACAAAAAAAACCCCAGCAGTAGACCTCTATTCTAGGGTCAGATCTAGAATTGATATAATTTAAAAATATGTTTACATAACAAGCATTTGTATTCTGAAGTCTAAATATTTTATATGAACCATAATATTTATGAAAGAGTTAGAATGCTATTTTTTAAAAAAATAACATTTTATTTTTGACTTTTCAGAGCTAGTTCAGGCACAAGATAAAAAATTCAGAAAGCATAAAAGGATATATAGCCAAAAGTATTAGGCATATAGACCAATGGAACAGAATAGAGATTCTGGAAGCAAAACCTCAACCAAAACTCATCTTTGACAAAGTCTCCACTAACAACCACTGGAGAGATGAGCACTTACTCAGTAAATGGTGCTGGGAAAATTGGCTGACCACATGCAGAAGGTTAAAACAAAACCCCTACCTATCATCAGATACAAAAATCAACTCTAAATGGATCAAAGACCTAAAAGTAAAACCTCAAACTATATGAACCTTAGAAAATGCAGGAGACACCCTACGGAAATTGGAACTGGCAAACAATTCCTGATCAAAACCCCAAATGCCCATGCCATAAGAGAAAAGATAGACAAGTGGGACTTCATCACATCGAAAAGCTTCTGCAAAGCAAAAGAAACTGCCAAGAGAGTGGGAAGATAGTCCACAGAATAGGAAAAAATATCTGCCAACTGTATATCTGACAAAAAACTCAAATGTGCCGAAAAGAAAAAAGCAAAACAAACAGCCCTACTAAAAAGTGGGTATAAGATATGACTAGACACTTCTCAAAAGAAGACATATGAGCAGCCAACAGATACATGAAAAAATGCTCAGCCTCACTAATCATAAAAGAAATGCAAATTAAAACCACACTGAGATATCACCTAACTCCAGTCAGGATGGCCATCATCAATAACTCTAAAAACAACAGATGCTGGAGAGGATGCAGGGAAAAGGGAACGCTTCTACACCGTTGGTGGGAGTGTAAACTAGTACGACCTCTGTGGAAAATAGTGTGGCGATTCCTAAAAGATCTCAAAATCGACCTTCCATATGATCCAGAAATTTCTTTTCTGAGAATATCCTGGAGGAACTCAAATCACTCTATGAAAAAGATACCTACACACGCATGTTTATTGCAGCATTGTTCACAATAGCAAAAACATGGAATCAACCATGCTGCCCACTGAAAGTGGACTGGATAAAAAAAAAAATGTGGTGTATATATACACAATGGAATATTATGCAGCCATAAAGAAGGACAATTATGAACTTTGCAGCAACTTCGACAGATTTAGAGTCCATATAATACTCAGTGATCTATCACAGAAACAAAGAACTGAGTACTACATGTTCTCACTATAAGTGGACCCTCAACAATTATCATAATACTGTAAGAAAGGGATTGGCAGTAGTGGGAAACTGCCATGGTGGGGCCACACTTCATCAACAAGGGTACCTGATCTCAAACCAGGTGAAGTGGGGACCAAAGTGAGGCCCAAACTTTACCTGTACAATGACCATTTGTATACCTAACCCTGAATTGTACTCCACATCTTTAAAATAAAATTTTAAAAAACAGGAAAAAAAAATACAGGATAATTATATATTAAAAAAAAGTATTTCGTATTTCTCACTCCCATTCCTATCCCCCAGTCACCACTGTTACCTGTTTCTTGGGTAGGGATGCTATTTTGTAGAAAATAATATGCTGAAGAATGTTACTTTCATAAGAACTATTTCTTAATTTCAGTCTCTCCCCTGTTTCTCCTCTACTTTCTCCCTCCCACCACTCTTTCAGTCTTTCTGTTGCTTCCTTTAAGTCCCTCCTTCAGACCCCTATCCCTCAACCTTTCTTTCCCACTTTCCTTTCCCATCTCACTCGCACGGCCACTTGTGCAGGTGCATAAAAATTGATCTATTTAATTTTAGAATCAATGTAAATCAATTTAGTTTTTGCAACACTGTTGTAGAATTTTATTTTAAGGAACTTTATATTCTCATTAGTGGCTGAGTTTTCATGGTATTGCTATACCATCATCTAAAACATCTTTAAAAAGGAAGAAAGATATTTTTAGAAATGTAAGATAGTGTGTTTAGAATCCTATTAAAATGTAAACAAAACTCTCATTTCTGAGACAGATACATTCTGTAACTTACATTTTCCATTCTTGCTGTATTCTTTCTCCCACATACTACTTCATCATGTTTGGTGGTGATGTCTTTTCCTTTTCCAATAAAACCCTTTTTGGGAGTGGGAACTGGTTTTGCTAAAGGAGATTAAGGCAAGCCAAGTATATAAGAATAGTAAAGACTAAATTGCTGCATTTAACATTGTCTGAAAAGACATTTTAATCTAAGAGCTAATTACCAAATGAGATTCAAAGAAAAAAAATAAAACTAAGAGTTCATTGGAGAAATCACTCTTCCTGTACCTATCCTATACCCCCAGAAAATATGAAAGCCTTGGTACCTGGTCTGTAGGGATCGTCACGAGTATCCTGCCAGTCAACCTCATCTTCAGAGCTATCACTGTCTTCATAAGGATGTACTTTCCGGTAATTTTCAAAGGAAATGGAAACTTAAAAGGCAAAAACAGTTGCAGATTTATTTGGGAGCACGTTACAAACATTTTCTACCACTCACTGGAGTTGTCACGATAAGATTGTAGTACCTTTGCTATCTCCATTGAATTTTTTTTCTTCACGCCTAAGCTGTGCATCATATTCTCTGTCAAATTCCATTTGGAGCATCTGAGCCAGCATTAGGTCGCTGGAAGTGTCAATGTTTTCTCCAGTAATAAATGGTCCTTCAGCAACACTATTCAAAATAAAGCAATATAAACTAATATAATGTGCTTTTGTAAACAGAAGCTACCAATTATGAGGGTGGGATGTGCCTTTTCGGTGTTACAGTTGTACTGAACAAAGGAAAAGAACTCTACCAAACCTTTCGCTTTCTCCTTCCCAACTAGCCTCGAGGTCAGTGACATGCATCTAGGAGAGCATCAGCTGGGATTAGGGGAGCTGGGAGGGGAAGCTGAAAGGGTCTAATAAAATCCAAATATACACCCAGAATTCTTTTCTTCTGTGTACTAATCAAAGAAGAGACACATATTTATGAAAAGATAAGCTACAAACACTTGATCAAAACTGTACTTCATCTAGTTCAACTGTCGCACTAACATGAAATAACTTAAATCCAGAGAAATAGGGTTTGTCCAAGATGATAATGAAAACTGATCACAAAATCAGAATCAGAATTCAACTGTCAGTGGACTTCCAGTACGGTGCTTTTTCTACCACACTGCTTTTCTAAGTGTGTTTCTCAATCACTTGCCATGGTGATCACTCATCAAATCCTAAAACTTGCTATAATTTGTTGTAAAATAGATACTTTGTCAATTTTACTTACTCAACTTCAGGAAAAGCAGCAGCTTCTTCTTCTAACTGCAATTCTTTGGCCAACTGTTCACTCATTACGTCAGCCAAAGAACAAGATATTGTATTTTGAGGGGCAGCCCATGGACACTGTTTAAAAATAAATAAATAAATAAATAAATAAAAGGATAGCTCAATCCATAATAATGAAATAAAAGTACCTATCAACTTGTAAATAAGATTATCTTTTGACAATTAAACAATATAGTTAACACCCAAAATGAATGGTTACCTATTACAGAAATCATCTCAAAAGTAAAAATATCTCCTAGGTTCTCAGGCTTCACTTACTTACTTATTTATTTATTTTTGAGCCAGTCTCACTGTTACCTAGGCTAGTGCAGTAGCACAATCACAGCTCAATGCAGCCTCAACCTACTGGGCTCAGGCCATCCTTTCACCTCAGCTGGGGACAAGTAGCTAGGACAACAGGCACACACCACCATGCCTGGCTAAATTTTTTTTTTATTTATTGTAGAGACAAGGTCTTGCCATGTTGCCCAGGCTGATCTTGAACTCCTGGACTTGGACGATCCTCTTGCCTCAGTCTCCCTAAGTGCTGAGATTACAGGCATGAGCCACCACACCTGACCTCCCAGGTTATGTTTAGTCAAAGATAAAGGTAAATGAAAACAGTCAAAAGCATTCTCTAGCCTTGCTGGTAGGTATGTCCTTACAGTTGCAGGGAAGCACCAGATTATTATGGCATCCACTGAGTAGCCAATGCGTTCACAATAACTCCTCTTTCAATTCCTTGCTCACCAAGCTACCTTTGGCTTCCCAAGGAGCATCTCTTATAGGATTAGACTACATCAACTAAGAATTCAAAAGTTCACTGAGAAGTTACAGAAGTTATACCTCATTCTAATTTAAGTATTAAACCTGCTAAACATACAAAGTGTGTATCAGCCCCTCTTAAGACATCTTAGGATATGCTAAAACAAAAACAATAAGAACAACAAAAGTTGTATTTCTGAACTTTAGAAGCTGAGAAACAGACTCTTAAAAGAATACAAATACAAATACAGGACAGTAATATTCTGTGAGACCCAGTTGGCCTTTCTCAGTGACACTACTGTCTCAATCTTCCTAAAATATAGACTGTAGGTTTATTTCACGATTCATAATTTTTAAGAGGGCAAGTTGCTTTACTTGGCAGCAGCAACTGATTACATTTTACAGTCCAGTGATTAAAGCCATTAGCATTACATAAGATGTCTAAGCATCTCTCTCTCCTTCTCCCTCTCTCTCGCTCTCTTTTTTTTTTTTTAAGTTACAGAGATTCATCATGTTGCTCAAGCTAGTCTCAAAATCTTGGCTTCAAGTGCTCTTCCTGCCTAAGTCTTCTACAGTGGTAGGGGTATAGCCCGTCTAGCCTCTAAATATCTCTTTGAACTTGCCCAGCTCTCTCCATCCCTCATCCATGATTCTACTCCAAGGTATCCCATCCCTGGGCTACTTATAAAAGAAGCCTAAGTGATCATTCTGCTCTCAGTCTTGCTTGTTTCCATTCTCCACACCATAACACTGTTGTTTTTCTTTTAATGCAGATTTGATTAGTACTGTTTCCTTACTTAAATCTCATTTCGCATTGCTTTTAGGATAAAGCCCAAACTAATTGCTAACCATTACTGTATAGATATGATACTTGTTTTAGCCACAAAATTATTTAATCAAGTTTAGACAGAACAGGCCCTCCAGCTGGTCTAAGGGCCTGTTGGCATGATGATTAGAGACAACTGGCAAGTGACTTTTGTTCAGGTTCCATGGTACTGAAGTTCAGAAACTTACTTGGCTCGGGTTCTGTTTGGGTAGAGCACCTAAAGCTGACCAATAATAACTATACTTATGCCTGAGTGAATCAGAATCAAGTTTTATCTAGATTCACCCTGAGATTGAGGAAATGTGCCTGGCCCCTAGCACATACCTAGAACATGCCTAATGCAGAATTGTTCCAGCCTTATACAGGCCAGACCTAGACGGAACAGGGAGCCTTCCTGAAGGTCTGGTGTGACTCAGTCACTCAGAGCTTATCAGCAAGTGAGCACTCTCCTGCTAAGGATTGTAAAATGTGGAATCTCGAAGCTCTCGGTAATCTGGAGAGCATAGCTAATCTTTTAGCCACACCACTCTGCTGACTTCCTTCCGTAACCTCTAAGCAGAAGATATAATGCTGTTTAGCTAGGAAATGTTTCAACTGATCAGCTTCAAAGTCCAGGTTCCAAAAGTCAGATGACTGTCCAGCTCAGAATTCTTTTTTTTTTTTTGAGTTGGAGTCTCACTTTGTCGCCCAGACTGGAGTGCAGTGTGCACGCTCCCAGTCACTGCAGCCTCAATCTGCTGGGCTCCAGCAATCCTTCCGCCTCAGCCTTCCAAGGAGCTGGAACTACAGGTGCGCACGACCATGCCCAGCTACAGCTCAGAATTCTTTTTTTTTTTTTTTGAGTTGGAGTCTCACTCTGTCGCACAGACTGGAGTGCAGTGGCCGCTCCCAGCCACCACAGCCTGGACCTGCTGGGCTCTGGTGATCCTTCCGCCTCAGCCTTCCAATTACAGGCACGCGTTACCACGCCCGGCTGATTTTTTGATTTATTGTAGAGATGAGGTCTCGCTGCCCAGGCGGGTCTCGAACCCACGGGCTCAGGCAATCCACTCACCTCAGTCTCCCAAAGGCGCGGGATTACAGGCTGAGCCACTGAGCCCAGCTAGCTCAGAATTCTTAACCACATTTGGCAATGATTAATAGGTGCATCACAGACAACATATGACTATTCACTGTATTTAAGTCACGTGGCTAAATATACATCAGATTATTTAAATCACACAACTGAGTATATGCAATATTATTCCTATTTTGTAGATTTTAAAACTGAGGCACATAAAGTTTTTTTTAACCCAAGATGCCACTGTAGATGGAAAGTACTGAGATTTGTACCAAGGCAGGACCTCAGTCTGTACTCTTAGATTCTGCTATAATGCTTCCCTAATCACCTCACTCTGGCATGTGAGGAGCAAACTGCCCTGCTACCTGCATATAAAATCCAAATGCCCCAGCAAGGAATGCCTTTCACAACTTGTCCTGATTTATCTTTCCAGTCTCAACCCTCATCTGTCCTGCACTCTAGTAACCCTAATTATATGTCAAATGTGACATGCTCCACGGCTTCACACATTCCTTTCTTTCTCAATGGTTTTTCTCCCTTCCCTATTTACACCAATTAAACGTCACCTCCTCTAGAGGGCTGTCTCAGTGTCATCAGACAAAGTTGGATCCTCTCCTTTGTGTTCCCATGCCACTATGGAACACTGTTAGTTCAGGACTAATCATCGTATCAGGGTAATGCAACAGCCACAAGCACAACCCTTGAAGACTGTAGTCTAATCCTCAGAGCCCAGCACAGAGCATCAGACATAAAGAGGCACTGAAGCATTACTGAGTGATACTTGCCAAAGGAAACACTGGAGATACCGGGCAGAACTACCAGGCTGTCCCTGGGCTGCAGCAGTCTACCACTTTCTGCATCCCTTCTCCTCTAACATTCTTTCCCCCACCTTCTAGTCTGCCCTTTTGCCCACCCACTTCTGAGGCTTCTACTCTTTTGCCACCTGTCAATTAATTCTGTTAAGGCATTAAATAAAGTATTAGCTGACAATTTCTCAGAAGAAGCAAAAATGACAGGCAGTGATTTTGTTATTTTGAGGCAGAGATTTGACCTACTCCCAAATACACTGGATCAGAAAGGGAAGCAAGAACAGATCACAAATAGCACCAAGACACCCTAAGTGCCCACTCCTACTGACCTTAGACTCAAGAGACTACAGTGCCCTGTACCAGCTCAGCTGGGCCCCCTCACACTGCGACAACATCCACTGAATGGAACAAGTAAAGACTTCAGAAAGGTTGCCAACTCCCATAATTTGAAATCAAAGCCAAACTCTTCAAGCAACAATCAGAAGTCCTCTGCGAAATTTTTCCTGTGTGAGGTTTCTGGGTTGGGGGCAGAACCCCTCGGGCCTTCCCCATAGGCACAAGCAGTTCATTACTGGAGGCTCCTCCTACAAACAGGTACCACAGGGTGTATGTTAAGGGAATCTCTGTCATAATCTTGTGACTCCTCAGTAAACCACCTTTTGTTAGTAGAAAGAAAAAAAAATCTAAGGAGATAGGGGGAAAATACTTCATAACCTTGCTCTATTCCTAGCTAGCCAAAGCCACTTCCTACTATTCCACTCAACAACATAAATACCACATAGCATCATAATCAGATTGAACCCCACACAATCCTTTCCAGTTAGTTATTCTACTTCGAAAGACATCCATCAAGCCTATAATCAACATCCTGATTCTTTCTTTCCTGTTGTTAACCCCAAGACCGTTGGTTTTCCTCTCCTTTGTGAAACTGCCACCACTGAAACCCTTTCCGCGGAGTTCTTCACTACTGCCACATTCTCTCACAAGTGGCTGGCTGCAGAGAAGACAAAAACCATGTCCTGTTCCCTACAGTTCCTAAAGACATGCCCTTTGCTGCCTGTCCTGCCCTTTAAAAAGGTTTTACTGCAGACAACTATGGGGAAAGAATCAAGTAAAATCAACAACAGTAAACATGAAAGAGACACATAATAACAAAAATTCAGTCCTCTACTTAAAGCAAGTCAAGAAAGTCATAACCAGGCCGGGTTTGGTGGCTCAGCCTGTAATCCCAGCACTTTGGGAAGACCGACAACGTGAGTGGATTGCCTAAGCATGTGGGTTCGAGAACAAACAGCCCAGGCAACTTGGCGAGACCTCATCTCTAAAATAAAGAAAAAAAAATTAGCCAGGCATGGTAGCGTGCACCTGTAGTTCCAGGTACTTGGAAGGCTAAGGCGGAAGGATCGCCTGAACCCAGCAGGTCGACACCAGGGTGGCCATGAGCGTGCCACTGCACTTCAGCCTGGGCAACGGAGTGAGATTCCAACTCAAAAAACAAACAAACAAAAAAAGAAAGCCATAAACCACAGGAAGGTCCCTTTTCTAGCCATGCAGCTAGAAGACAATCTAGGCAGATTTTTGAAGTAATTTTTTATATCTCAAGGCAAGGGTCTCTGGAAAAAATGATCTGGGCCCACATAACAACACTAACCCGCCCCCCCAAAACCTTTCTACTTTAGAATAGTTTTATATCTACAGAAAAAAAGTTGCAGAAATAGACTTCCTAAATGCCACATATGCGGGCTCGCCTATTAATGATACCTTGCACTAGTATTATACATTTGTCATAACTAATGAACCAATACTGATATATAATTAACTAAAGTCTCTATTCAGATTTCCTTTGTTTTCCTCAACACCATTTTTCTGTCCCACTACTCCACCAAGCTACATCTAGTTATTATGTCTCCTTAGGTTCCTCTTGGCCTAAGTTCCTCAGATTTCCCTTGTTTTTAATGACCTTGATAATTTTGAGGAAAACCACGAATCCATTTTATAGCTCTCTCTCAACAGAGCTACAAATTTCCTCACTTTTGCCTACACAGTTTACCAATCCTGCCTTCTTCAAATGCCCCCTATAATTCTTCATCCATAACAGCAGTTTAACATTTTGTAACTTGTACCCCAGTAACTTGGAGAGGGATCATCCCCAAGACCATTTCACTGCAGCCTCTATGTCCTGGCCTCAGAAGATCCTTCTGCCTCAGCCTCTCTAGTAGCTGGGACTACAGGCATGTGCCACCACACACCCAGTTAATTTTTTGTATAGAGGAAGTCTCACTATATTGCCTAGGTTGATCTCAAACTCTGGGGCTCAAGGGATCCTCCCACCTCCATCTCCCCAAGTGCTGGGATTACAGGCATGAACCACAGTGCCCAGTCACACTGTCTTTTTAACCTGCATTCTCCCAAGAGTGTGGAATTTTCCAGAGACTACATCAGATGTGATGACATCATCACTCTGATGGCTAATGAAATGTGTGCTTGATATTCTTGTGCTTTCTAACATTTTCTAAGGTAGGAGGCTTGGGATATAAATATACATTATTAGATGGAGTTTGAGATTAGCCTGGACAACATAAATATACATTATTGGAGATTAACTCAATTACTTCTCAATATTTCTAATGTACTCTTATTAGCCATCTTTAATTATACATATTTTAATCTACATATCTGTGAGGATAGATTTTTCTTCATATACTTCAACCAAAGCACATCACAACAGACCGAATGAAAAAAAATGACAAGAATCCAGCTATCTTCTATTAAGTCAGCTGTTAGAGACTTGCAAAAATGTAAAATAATATTATTCTCTTTACTAATGTGTTTTAGTTTTAGAAACTAGTTTTCTTTAAATATAAAAAGGTTATTTATGTTAACATATAAAAAATTTCTCAGCTTTAATGTCTGACATAATAAATATCAGCAGATAACCAATGTAAGCAAAAGTTCTTGGGGGTCTTCAATGATTATTAAGAGTATAAAGAATGCCGCTCAGTGGCTCAGCCTGGAATCCCAGCACTTTGGGAGGATGAGGCGAGTGGATCGCCTAAGCCCGTGGGTTCAACACAGCCCAGGCAACTTGTCGAGACCTCGTCTCTACAATAAACCAAAAATTTAGCTGGGTGTGATAGTACATGCCTGTAGTTCCGGCTACTTGGGAGGCTGAGGTGGAAGGATTGCCCCAGCAGGTCGACGCTGGGATGGCCATGAGCATGCCACTGCACTCCAGCCTGGGCAGCAGAGTGAGGCTTCAACTCAAAAAAAAAAAAAAAAAAAAGGGTATTAAAGAAGCCAGACACAGTGGTTCACACCTGTAAACTCACCGCTTTGGGAGGCAAAGGTGGGAGGATTGCCTGAGCCCAGAGATTGGAGACCAGCCTGGGCAACTTGGCGAGACCTTGTCTCTACAATAAATCAAAAACTTAGTGATGGGGCACACCTGTACCTCCAGCTACTTGGAAGGCTGAGGTAGAAGGATCGCCTGAGCCCAGCAGTTCAAGGCTGCAGTATGAGTATGCCATTGCACTCCAGCCTGGGCAACAGAGTGAGACTCCGATTCAAAAAAAAGAAAACAGTATAAAGATATCCTGATTAAAAAGTTTTGAGAATCCTTCCATTTTTCTTACTCAAATCTCCACCTCCCTCATGGAGGCTTGTGTAATCACTTCAGTCTTCCACAAAGTTAGAGAAGGAAAGAATTAAGTGGTAACTTTCGGTCTCTAATTGTTTTCCCTGTCAAAACACTGTCCTTCCAATAGAACATCAATAAACCCCAGGAACGTTTTTTGTTGTATGATGAACATGGAATTTTATAATTCTGATGATGCATACTTAAAGAAGAATATGACTGATAAATATTTTATTACTCAATTAGTTTCTTAAGTGAAATTTGTTCTGTGGTTAGGATGTACTCTCAGCAGAGTTTATCTCTACGACATTTTTGCTAGCCTTTGTCAATGTTTAACTGGAGGGATTTAACATGTAGAGTTTATATTTATTAGTCTCTGTCTAGTGATTCTGTCCTTTTAAGTTTACTGATTTTGACTTTATAAACAGTGCCTTAACAAAAAATGCACAAAGTAACATGCAGGTGTAACCGCATTTGCCAATGGACTACCTTAGATTCTTCTGACAGTTGTATGAGAACTTTTATAAAATTAATTTTCTTTTACATAATAGCTAATTATTCACTCCTTTTGCTGTTAAGTCAAAGCCTGACGATCCGATAAGATTAACAGGTGACCCTTTAAATGAAACAAACATTCTGTGTTAATACATGAAGAACAAATTATGAAGCTAAAAAAGCTGGATTCCTTCACAACCTTAATTTCTGGAACATAAAATCCCAGTGGAAGCACTCTGCTCTCAAGCAAACCCTCAATAAAGTAGCAGAAAAGTCTTTTCATCCTTTTAATGAAAGTATCACGAAAAGGAGCAGGCTGAAAGCCAGAAACCAAATGCGAAATAAACGTTTTTAGTTGATCATTCTAGGAAAAAGTTCCAAAAAGTTAAAGCCCAGGCAGATAATGAAGATTCATAACCTCTGTCTGTATATGGTGCGTACTACACTAGAATTTCGAGGGAGGGAGGGAGGGTGCGCCTGGGTTTTATCTCTTACTACTCCAAAAACAAGACATTTCCGGACTGGGATAAGCACACTTTTCAAATTACGAAAACAGCTTCCTAAACCAACTTTCTGTGTATTCGGCTGACTCACTTCGCCCATGAAAAACAAGACCGTGCTTGTTTTCCCTCCAGTGTCGGCGTCTGCAAGCCAGTCCTGCTCACATATATGCTACGGAAATTCAGAGAGTAAGGGGAAGCCGAGAGCGAGCCCTACTCACCCAGGTGCCCTCTGGGAGCCCAGCCGCCCTCCGCCGCCTCTTTCACATGTCCCCTCCCGCCCCCATCCCGGCGGCCCCCCGGCCGGTCCCCACTTGCCGAGTGGCCCACGAAGCCGCCCTCCCCGGGCCTTCCGAGAGAGCCAGCCCAGGAGACCAAGGCAGGTACTCCCGCCCCGACTGCCACTCACCTTGCTGGGTCCCCAGGTCGCTGCCGACCCGGGCTCAGGCGAAGCCACTCCGACCAGATCCATGGAAGAAAGCAGCAACAAGAACAGAGCAGAGAAGTGGCAGGACGAGAAGCAGGCTCCGCCGAGGGGAAAGGCGGGGCAGGGACGACCGGTTGCCGGTGCCGGAGCTAAGGTGACAGATGGCGGCGGCGGCCGCGTCCGGAACTAGATCTCTCCTCTTCCGCCCTCTCCGCTGTGACGGCCGCATCCGATTGGCCGCCTGCTCTTGGCTCCGCCTTCAATCACCTTTCCCCGCCCCCGGGCCGACCGCTTCCGGCCGCTGCCCGCAGGGCCAGGGCTAGCAAAGTCCGGCTGGCAGTCAACTGTGGGCAAGCTGGTCTGTACCGGCCAGGGCAGGTCAGGGCAGGATTTGGGTGTGGCTTCCTCTGGCCCAGGCCCTGCCCTGCCCCTGCACTGCCTTCTTCCTTCCTTCCTTCCTGGCAGCCCGAGACAGCCGCTGGATCTCGTTAAACTAGATTAGGCGGTGTGACTTGTAAATAAACACCAGGCTCTCTGTGTTCATTCATTATTTCCTGGCGTAATTCTAAGCTGGGATGGTTTGGGAGACAGAAAACGGCAGGTTTGAGAGGGGAAAAGGGACTGAGGAGAAAGGTCGGATTTTGTTGTTACTGTTGTGGGGGGAGGGGGGGCGGGGCTGGAATGCGAAAATTTGTAAAAATGTTATACAACCGAGCAAAAATAGGACTATATGGTAAAAGTTTTGATTTTGTATTCTGTAGAGAGATTCTCATAAGTATCCGGATAAAAGATAACTAAGCATTACGTTTCACTTACTATTTTCATGTGCTGTTCAAAATACCGTATTAACTCTTTGGTCCTTAAAATAACCTTGAGGTGTAAATTCTGTCACTATCTCAGTTTTACTGTTCTGAAATTGAAGCACAAAGACATAAAGTATTTGAGGTCATACAGCTAACAAGCGGCAAAGCTAAGTGGTGGACCCATGCAGTCTGAGTTTAGGAACTGGCTCTATAATTTCTAAATGTCAACTATTTAGACCTTCTAGAAATTTGTACTGGATAGCTATTTTTCCTAAATCTCAGTTCTGAGTCAGGATCTCTAAGTGTCAATCCTTGAGAGCCCTGAGATACTGATCTTAATGATTAACATTAGAACAGGATCCTCGCCTCCTGCCTATTCTAGGCCAAAGCTTGTTCTGAATCCTCCAGACACTCCTACTAAAATAAGGCAGACCATAGCCATATAATAGGATACAGGCCTGTGATTGGCAAATGTTGTCTATATATGCAAATAAGTGTGGAAATTGTGTTCCTTCTTAGTGTTCAAAGAATTCTCATTGGAGTATAAATAGTTAAGGAAAAGTGGGCGTAACCAGAAATGAAATGGACTTCTCAATTCTGGGTAAGAAAGAAAGGAGAGGATCAACCAGAAGTTATTGAAGCCTATTAAATTAGTTAAGCTCCTAGAATGGAAGGGCTTAAAAAAACAACAAAAAAAAAATTAGCCAAGTATTTCTGAAAAAAAAAATTGAAAAGAAAAAAGAGCAGACAGAAAGGCTGAGATGCAGCATATGACAAAAATGTACCAGTGAGGGACATATTAGAAAAGGACAGGAAGTTGAAAATAAAACTGAGATCTGAATATTCTACTTAGATAATCTATTCAACAAATTTTTATAGTTTGCTTTAAATTCCTAACAATAGAGTGACATATATAAATAAGAATAGGCACCTGCCTCATGTACCTTGAGGTCCTGAACTCAAGTAGAATTAGATGTTAAAGGTGCTATGATAGATGCCTGTGCAGGGCCCAGGGAAATGGAAAAGAGGAAGAGGTCAGATAACCAGATGCTCTGGAAAGGTTCATTAGAGTAGATGACACTTGAGCTAAGCTTCTCAAGATGTCCAGGCATCAGTGAGATGGGCTGTAAGGTGGAGTGAGGTCTTCCCCAAACAGGGAACCTCCAGGGTGCATCAGAAAAGGGCAAGTGGTTTGGCTGGCCAAACCTGGGGTTCAACAGGAACAAAGGAAAGACTAGGTTGAAGAATGCAGGAAAGGTCTAAGAGTTTTTAATACTAAGGACTTAAGAGTTTAGACAATAAGTAGTCATTAAAAAAGGAGAATAATGTTTTCAGATTTGCTTTCTAGAAAGATAATTCTGAGAGCTGTGTGAAGGGTAGATTGAAAAGGGTGAGGCTGGAGACTAGAAAGCCTGGCAAAAGCCGGGCTCTGTGGCTCAGCCTGTAATCTCGTGCCTTTGGGAGGCTGAGGTGAGTGGATTGCCTGAGCCTGCGGGTTCGAGACCCGCCTGGGCAGCGAGACCTCATCTCTACAATAAATCAAAAAATCAGCCGGGCGTGGTAGCGCATTCCTGTAATTCCAACTACTTGGAAGGCTGAGGCAGAAGGATCGCCGGAGCCTAGCAAGTCGAGGCTGCGGTGGCCAGGTGCGGCCACTGCACTCCAGTCTGTGCGACAGAGTGAGACTCTAACTCAAAAAAAAAAAAAGAAAGAAAACCTGGCAGGCAATTGATGAGGAGGTTGCTTTGACTTCCACTGACACATCTTTTAAAAGTGTTATTAGCATTCAGTCTAATAAGGTGACTGAATATTCCAACTCTGATCTCATTTCTCTTGTTTTCAAAATTTGGTTTTTGGGTTTTGGTGTTGATGTAGGTGGTGCTAAGTGAAGGTAGAGTGGAATGAGAGGTAAGCATCTCGGTGGAGGTCTAGGAATCTAAGATGACTTCTTTTTTTTGATTGATTGGGTGGAAGGTAGTGCTCAAGAGCTAGTTGGGAGGGAAGATGATAGAGTTAATTTTGTAATTGTTACATTTATGTTGCCTATGGGAAATAGCAGCTACCAAAACTGTAAATACAGGCCAGGCACAGTGTCTCACACCTGTAATCCCAGCACTTTGGGAGGTGGAGGCTAGAGGATTGCCTGATTCCAGGGGTTTGAGACCAGCCTGGGCAAATTGGCAAGGCCTCGTCTCTACAATAAACCCCAAAATTTATTGGACATGGTGGCATAAGCCTGTAGTTCTGGCTACTTGGAACGCTGAAATGGAAGGATCATCTGAGCCCAGCAGGTCAAGGCTGTGGTGACTGTGATCATGCCATTGCACTCCAGCCTGGGCAACAAAAAACAAACAAACAAAACACCAAAAACTTAGATATTCACATTTGTTGTTATTCTCCATGAGAGCAGGAACCGTGTTTATTTTGCTCACCATTGTAAATCAATGCCTAGCACGGTGGCCTAGCATAATAGACACTCAAATATTTGTGAATGAACAAACTGAATGGATGTAGTTAGAAAATGGCCAATAGGCAGTCTGGAGTTTATGAGAAAAAACAGAGGCTGAAAATAACAGTTTAGTAGCCATCATCATGACTACCATTTGTTGAATGCTTACTGTGTTGAACTAAACACTTCAAATACATTAGCTCATTTTGAGGGATACTGTTAATCCATTTTATAGATCGGGAAGCTGAGATTTGGAGAGCTCAATATCACTCATAATGAATTATGTGGTTTATGTTGGCTATGGAAGTAAATGAAAAAGAAGACGCTGTTAGGAAGAATGCACGAGTTAGGGACAGGAGATTTTGATAAAGTTGGAGTAAGAAGTTCTGCGGGGAGAAAGAACATGATGGAGCTAAAGAATTAAGTTGGTTGCTGGGCATGGCGACCCGCACCTGTAATCCCATCATTTTGGGAGGCTGAGTTGGGAGATTGATTGAGGTTAGGAGTTTGAGATCAGCCTGGGCAACAGAGTGAGACCCTCATCACTACAAAAAAAAAAAATTTTTTTTAAAGAATTAAGTTGGTGAGAGCATGGTGAAATTGTAACCCTTATTGATGGCAAGCGGCAATGTAAAATGGTGCAGCTGCTGTAGAAAATAGTGGTAGTTCTTCAAAAAGCTCAACATATATGTCTTGGTAATTCCATTTCTAGATATATGCCCAAAAGAATTAAAAACATGTACACATAGAACCATTATTAGAATAGCCAAAATGTAGAAACAACCCAAATGGCCATCAAGGGATGCGTGGGCCAACAAAATGTGGCATATGCATACAAAGGAATATTATTTAGTCATAAAAGGAAAGGTTATAGGTTAAAATGTGTCCCCTCCAATTTTATATGCTGAAGTCCCAAACCCTAGTACCTCAGAATGCACCTGTATTTGGAGATAAGTTCCTTGAATAGGTGATTAACTAAAATAAGGCCATCAGGGTGAGGCCCTAAGCTAATATGATTCAGTGTCCTTTTTTTTGAGTCGAAGTGTCACTCTGTCACACAGGCTGGAGTGCAATGACTATGGCCTCAACCTCCTGGACTCAGGTGATCCTTCCACCTCAGCCTTCCTAGTAACTAGGACTGCAGGCATATGCCACAACACCTTGCTAATTCTTGAATTTTTTTTTTTTTTTTGTAGAGACAAGGTCTCATTATGTTCGTAGGATAGTCTTGCATTCGTGGGCTCAAACAATCCTCCTGCCTTGGCCTCCCAAAGTGCTGGGATTATAGGCGTGAACTACCGGACCTGGCCTGGTGTTCCTATAAAAAGAGGAAGACAATAGAGACATACGTGTGCACAGAGGGATGCCTATGTGAAGAGGCAGCACGAGGAGACCATCCATCCCCAAGCCAAGAAGAGGGGCCTCAGAGGATGCCTCTTGATCTTGGACTTCCTTCCTCCAAATCTATGAGAAAATAAATATCTGTTGCTTAAACCACCCAATATGTGGTATTTTGTTAAGGCAGTTCTAGAAAGCTAATACAGGAATGAAGCACCCATACATGCTACAATGTGGATGAATATTGAAAAAAACTATGCTAAGTAAAAGAAGCCAAACATAAATATCACATATCGTATGAGTTCAGAATAGGTGAATTTACAAAGACTGAAAATAGATTGGAGGCTGCTAGGGAATGAGGTGGGGAGTGGGTAACAGGGAGAGAGTGTTTCATGTGTAATGGGGAAATTATGTTTAATGAGGTCTTCTTTGGGAGAGAGAAAGGTGGTGGTTGCACAACATTGTGAAACTACTAAATGCTGCTGAATTTTATATTTCAAACTGATTAATTTTCTGTTATGTAAATTTCACTTTTAAAAAGAGAGAAAGTGGGCTATTTAAGAGTTTTAGAGGTCGAGCAGATTAGGTTATTCTGAGGAAGTCCTAGTGAAGCAAAGGGGAGGCTGAGATTGGGACATTTAATAAGCCAGGATA